CAACCCAAACCATTCTGTGATTCTATGTAAATGTCTGCTGCTGGACAGAGGTGGGTTGCCCTCTCTCTAGGCTGTTACTGACTACGAAGAGTCTAGGAGACTAGTTCCGATAGCTACGTTACAGATTTTGGAGTAGAATTTGTTATTCAGCGCTTCCCTCTTTCTTTCCCTGAAGTCAAGAAACGTGGATCACCACTATTGCTTAGCGCTCTGTAGCTTGGAAATGAACCTTGAACAGATTCCCAGAACAATTCTGTGTGCCTGTGGCCAGCGTAGCACTGGTATGCGGTACCTTGTATGCGGTACCTTGTATGCGGTACCTTGTTGCACTGCAGATTGATTGTATTAGGTGTATAGATTAAGATGTGTCTTTGGTCTCTGTTGGAATTATCCTGGTGGGAATTCAGGCAAATAACAAATTGTGTCAATATTTACCTGGCATTCACACTGTTGACTTACTGCCACAGTACCTGCAGAAATTGCATTCAGAGCGGACACGTGCTAATTCTGATGCAGTGGCCAGTCCTACAAAATGCGTAGCGTCCTCTTTTGTGTTCATTTCGTGGCAAACAGTCTGCATCTGCTCAAATAGTTGTTCTAATTTCCTTCATCTGGAGGGTTGGATTGCACTGGGAGGTAGGGTGTTCCTTCTGCAGGTAGAAGAAAAGGTCATTTCAAAATGCAGATACCTCTGAATGGGATTATGAATTTATATGTGCTTAAAATATCATCCATGCCGAGCCTCACCAGAGCTTTTTTCTCCCTTGTTTTTTCATTATGTTTGTCCTTCATTTCAGGTCCCCCCCACAGTGGGAAGACTGCTTTAGCAGCAAAAATAGCAGAAGAATCCAACTTTCCCTTTATCAAGATCTGTTCTCCTGATAAGATGATCGGATTTTCTGAAACAGCCAAGTGCCAGGCTATGAAGAAGGTACTTAACACCTCCTGCTCTTTGCTTGATTACCATCCAATTCTATGTTCTCTAGTGGATGGAAAAGGGAATTACCCTTGTGATTGTATTTTCTGCTCTCTGTAGGTCCTAAATTCCTGTCTGTATATTTATTTATAAAGTTGAATGAATGTTTTTGTGGCCCTGACACTAAGTGACTCAGGGAAAATGTCAAGGCTCTGTCCCAACTGGGTGTGATATGTAATCATGACTAACAGTGGGACAAATCACCTGCTCTGTGATGAGCAAGTCTGGACCTCTGTCTGCAAAGATGAAGGCAGGAAGGGCTTAGGGTTGTGCTTGGAAAGAACAGATCCTGCCTGAATGAGACTAGGAGTAGTTTTGGGGTGGTGGTGTTTAGTTCAATAAGAATTTTAACAACTTGAGGAGCAGGGGGAGTGCAAACAAGTTGAAGATCTTAAATCATTTTGAGTAGCCAGGTGAAAGGAAGGAGATTTCATCTACTGAAGCAAGGCAGCTCTTACTCTTCTAGCTGAATGATACTGAAGCATGTAAGTGTAATGTTACTCTCAGATCAGTTTGTTGCAGCATTGCATAGCTTCTAAGAGGAGTACTGTGCTCATAGCTGGAAGCCCAGTTTGTAATTTAGATTCAGAAAGGAGCATTTTGGGCTTGGGTGGAATCGGCGTATGCTGGAGGGAGGCCTGCAGTACCACTGGTGTCCTTCGTGCTGCTTACTGTTTCAGTCCAGAGCTGTGCAGGACACTGGCTTGCAGCTCTGTGCAGGGTGGTGTGGAGGCTCGATCCGTGCCTGAGTAGGTCTGTTCTCCCTGCAGTAGGTTGTTGTGAAAAGTAACCCGGTATCCAACCTGGGTAGAAGAGCGGCAGAATGGCATTACAGTTGTGGGGGATTTGTGTGTATGTTGTTGTATTATCATTATTGCCTCAGCTCCAAGAAACAGAGGGATGGTGCTCTGTTTTGTCCATTGCTTACAAATAACCCCAGGGCAGCTGGCTGTTTTGCAAAGTGCGTGCGATGAATGAACAAAGCTGAGCACTGAATTTGTTGAGATTGCAGTGTTTTATTAAATGCAGGTAGGGTTTACCCTCTTGGTACTTACCTTTCTCGTTCTCTGTTTATTCCTCTAAATACTGCTGTGTTCAGCTGAAGAAATGTCAGCAGGTCCTATCATGACTATTGTAGTTTTGCTGCTGAGATGTAACAATGAGTCATTTTGCTGTTTTTCAGATCTTTGATGATGCGTACAAGTCCCAACTCAGCTGTGTTGTTGTGGATGACATCGAGAGGCTCCTAGGTGAGTGAGGACGATGAGAGAGCACGACGCTGTCTGCTGTGCAGAAATATTGAAATATTTGCAAAACTGAAATACCGCAAACTGAGACCGTTTACTTTGGGAGACTCGAACTGTTTTTGACACAGTGAAGTGGCGTAAATGTGCATCTGCTTAGTGGGCACTGAAATGCATTTTTCATTTCAGATTATGTCCCAATCGGACCACGGTTCTCTAATCTGGTGTTGCAAGCCCTGCTCGTGCTGCTGAAGAAGGCCCCCCCTCAGGTAAGGCAGCAGTCGAGGGGCGGGATGCCCGGTTCCGGGGATAATTTTGGCAGTGGAGAGCTTCGTGTCCTGCTGGTAGCTGCCGTGCGGCCGGTGGTGTTAGTGCTGTTGTCTCTGATTCAGCCAGCTTAATCCCAGCCCGCTGCTGCTCGCTCAGCTGGACGTTTCTAGGATAACCACAAAGGATTCAACCTGAATTGTCTCATTGCTTGAGGCCAAATCTGCTGCAGTTAGCCCTGGAAATACTGGCTAAGGAAAGAAGTTGCACCTTCACGTGTAAAACTGGAACGTGCAAGCTGGCTGCTTTCTGATTTAACCAAGGAACTGCTTAGGCCAGATGGGTCCCTGGCTCAGCCCCGCGCTCCCTCCTGGTTGAGAAATCCATTTCCAAGTCATGTGTGATTGTGGACGTCAGGGTTTTAGTTTGTTCTTCACTTGAAAGTCTCAGGTGTTAATCACAGTGGGTGAGGACAGCTTAAGGCCTCACGTCTCACGCTGATCTGGTCTGTTTGCACTTTCTGGCCTGATGAGATGTAAGAGCGTCACGAGCGATAACATTTCTGAAGCCTGCGCCGAATAAGACAAACAGGCAGAGACTCTTTTTTGTTTGCCGTTTTCCTGGCGTGCACTGGAATTCTGCTGTGCGTGTGAAAGTATCTGCGTGAGTAAATAACAGACAGACAGGAAAACCTTGAAAGTTGGTGTCAGTAAAAAGCAGAGAAGCACAGCCTGGATGAGCTCGATTTTTTTGTCGTTTTTAATATCCTAGAAAGGGTAACGTGTGCGTGAGTATTGTTTTCATTAGAGAGTTTGGTGAAAAGACCTTTCAGATATAGAACTTTCAACTAAATTGTGATGCCACAGGCCCTGAAGTTCCCCTCGTGACTGTCAACCTGGGAGAACAAAGATGTTTTCCCAGTGAGCTTTGTGTGCCATGTGAAGTCTCTAACACAAAACTTGGGTTCTGTTGTCGCAGACATTGGAACAGAAAGACTGCCTGAACGCCACAGCCCGACCATTCCTGGTCGTCGTGATCTCCTTGACCTGTTGTATTTCCACAGTACCAGGAGACGATGTTCCCATAAATCCGTAGGGGAAAATAGAACTTGATTTTATTCAGTTGGTGAAGGAATTTAAATATTAAATTGTCCATTTTATCGTCGTGTCCTCTGACTGTATTTTGCTGCTTAGATGCACTTTCGTTGGCACCCGAGTCTCCCTGAAAGCAGGATGCAGGGCTTGACGCTCTCAGATATTTGCCAAGTTTATGCATGTTGCTAAAGATTTGTACTTCGCAATGTTTGAAATGCCCTTGAGGCTGGAAGACTTTGGGTTGACAGCCAATATTACGGTGACTTAAGCCATAAATTGTTGGAGGGTAGAGAGAGAGTTTTCTCAGGAAATGTCACTGTTTGATTGATGATGCGGTTGGATTTTTTTTTCTTTTTTTTTTTCTAAATGTCCACTGTTGGCTGCTGTGGAAATTAGGGCGTTGGGTCAGACGGACTCTTTGGGCTGACCTAGTTTGGCAGTTCTGATGATCAGGTCCTTCCTAGCATGTTTGTTTCTTGTGAGTTCCCTGTGATAGTCATGGCATGTTGTGTTTTGTTTTTTTTTTTTCATTAAAAAAACTCAAAACAGTGTGTAAGAGGTAGAGCCATGAAGAAAAAGGCCTTTTCTGCTGTGAATGTTTACTGTGAAAAAGATTGAATTTGGGCATGGAGACTCTTGGGGTTTTTAAGCCCAAGTGAGGAACCCACGAGGGCGGTAATGCTGCTGGTTAATCAGCAGAACCTTCCAAGGTCCCTCTGGGATGACTAGTTCTCTTGGGGAGCAATTTATTTGGAAGTAGTGGCTGGTTTCGGAGGTTTTGTTGTAATTTGAGATGCAGATACGTCCTTCAGATGTGTGAGAGTAGCGTCGGTGGGACTAACCTGTTCCATGAGGTCAAACCAACACCAATTTCTGTGAGACTGGGACCATGTTTTAAGTTCATTCCTTGTAAAAATGGGATGTTCTGGGACACGCTGTGTCCCTGTGCTGAGGGAAATCATTGGCAAGAGGCTGGGAGGCAATACCTGTTCTCCATTGCTCTCAGGCAGTCTCGTAACCGTTCCATTAGTCAGAGGGGCCCGGAATACAGAGTTGACTGGAAAAGCTTAGGAACAGAAAGGGCGAAGCAGTTGAAACCGCAGGGCAGGAGGGAGCGGGGAGCGGAGGGCGCGTTCCAGCA